TTTTTTTTTTAAATAATGAAAAATAGGTAATATAAATGTAATTAATTCTCAATAAATTTTATTATTTAATTTAATGTTTAAACCAAAAATGATAGAAAATGAAAATGATTTTTGTTGTTCTAAAGGACATAAGCTACCAGTTCTTACAATTGCAGTTGATCCAAATTTATCAAGGAATTAAAGGCTCTTATGCTCAGAATGCTTAGAGAACACAGACATGGATGCCAAAGTAATTGGGTTAAAGAAAATAATTTCCTTGATTGAAGAAAATTAAGTAAATAAGATGGAAAAATTACAAAATATCATAAATAGCTAAATAAATGTTATTGAATCATTACATTGTGTAGTTGATCAAATGAAATCAAATGTAATCCAAAAGTTAAACTAATTGATTAATATTATTATTGAATGGATTCAGAATCTATAATAACAAAGATCATAATATTCTCAATATAGTTTTTATGAGGAATTAGAAAATATGCTCTAAAAGGAAAATAAAACTAATTCCAGCTAATAAATATTGATCCATGAAATTTAGGAAACCAATCTCTGTTGGGCTTCCAAATTTCATCCTTAATTAGAACACTTTAATTAATTTGGAGAATATAATAAATGTAGAGAACTATTATCAAGTTTAGAATTAGGATCTGATAAATTAATTTAGATTGAATAATAATAATAATAGATCAATATTTAAGAGATAAAATCAGTGAGTACTTTAATAAATATTGAACCATCTTAAACTATAGAATCTAGTCATCAATATAATCTCAATACATTCAATTATTAATTAATCTAAGAGTATTCAATCTCCTAATATGAATTCTGTTGTGCTATAGCTGTTGATAACTATTGTTCAACTTTGGTGGCTGGATGTAATTCAATTATTAAAGTATTTTAATTCAACTAAGGAAAGATCAACCAAATTTAATCTTTAAATGAACATAAGGATTGGGTATTAACTTTAAATTTCATGAAGAAATCTAAGTAATTTATATCTGGAAGTCAAGATAAATCTATTATAATATGGAAATTAAATTAAAATAATGAATGGAGTTCATAATAAATATTAAATGGACATATTAGTTGGATCGAATGTTTAGTAATAAATACTAATGAAGATCTAATTATCTCTGGAAGCCAAGATGCAACTATTAAATTTTGGATAAAAAAGAATGAATGGTTGTGTTAATAAACAATCATTGATCATTCTAAATCTGTTAATGGATTAAGTTTAAATTAATAATAAAATAGAATTTTATCATGTGGAATTGATGAATTTATATTAATAATTGAATAATCAGGACAGAATACAGAATGGAGAGTATTGTAAAAGATTACGGTTGAAAAGAGTGGTTGGAGAGTATGCTTTATTGATAATAATACTTTCATGTACTCACCAGGTGGTAAAGAATAGATTTCTTTTTTTGAGATGAATATTAATAATAAATAGTTTACAAAGACAAGAGATATTCTTATTTAAAGTGGAATAGATTGCAATCCAAGATTTCCTTAACAATATATAAATTCAAAACGTATTCTAATGAGTAAGAATGGGGAATATGTCAATTTAATAAGATAAAAATAAAATGGAGAGTTTTTAACTGAACAATCTATTCATTTTGGAATTAGTTCTTTATATGGAGCAATGACTGATGATGGAGAATATTTAATCACTTGGGATAGAGCATCATATTAAATACAAATTAGAAGATATTAAGAATAATGAAATTATTAAAATTTTTAAAAATTACTGTATAAAATTTGACAAGAACTTATTTTGAAAACATTTTTTGAGATTATCATGATTTGCTTATTATACAGTATTTGCTCATATCATCTTTAAAAAAATTTATATTTAAGTTTCATATCTCATAGATATCTCAAATACATTCTCTAAATATTAATGTTTTTTCTTTTAATTTATATTATTCTAAATAATCAAAAATTTAAGAGACATTTTAAATATAAAAATGAAAATAGTGACATTTGAGTTATAACTATTTTAAATGAAAGTTAAGGTGGTACCTTCATCATTGACAGTAACCATTAATTTCAATGGAAATAAATGATTTTATATAATAGTAATATCTATTATATATTGAAGATTGCATGATTCAAAATACAAAGGTATGAAGATAACTCTAAATGAAGAACCTAGCTTTATTTAATTGTGAATTTTGTTTAAATGGTACTACTTGTTAACCAAATAATTATTTAAACATGAATGCAGGTAATAGTTGTTCCGCTAATTGCGAAAATTTTATTAATACATCTACTAATTGTACATCTTGTTTATTAAGATATTTTTGAAAGGATCTTCTAATACTTGTCATTAATGTGATACTAATTGTTTAACAAGTTTAAATGATGCCAAAATTTGCATATCTTGTGTTTTAGTATATTTTAAAGATAAGTATACTGAATGCTCAAATAAATGTTTTACTTTTGTTGTTCCAGACACTTAATTTATATTATGTTATGTAGGAAGATATTTCAATATTAATTATTGTTCACCTTATCCTAATACATGTACCAATTGTGAGAATTCATAAAATATTCATGCTTGTTCTAAAAGTTCTTATTTGAATAATAATTTTTTTTCAGTTTGTTCTATTAAATTTTAAGAATGTGTATATTCATCTACAAAATTTACTAATTGTTATGATGGTAAATACGAAAGTGTATTCCAGGTTATGAATTTTGCAAATTATGCATGAAACCGTGCA